TATAGCGGTACAGAGATAGAACTTATCGCGGCTCAAATTACAATAAGCTTTATTCGCTATAGCGATATCATGCAAGCTGATAAAGTTTTTTACGATGCTGGAATGGCATGCAGAGTTTGTTTATTCTTTTGCCTCTTTCTATTTAAGTGGAGAACAGCAATCTTTATTTTCCAAAAATAAAGGAATTCATGATATTTTTTCCATTATACTTTTCTCTATCTTGTTTAGAAAAAGCGGCAGACAACAGTTCACAACTTTTTGTCATTTGTGAAAGAAGAGGCTAAGGCTTCAAAATCAGCGGTTCGAAAGCATTCTTCTTTCTGAAGCAAATTAATTGAATATTCTTAGTAGGTGCATCACCAATAATGTATTAAGTCCTGGTAAGATATCTGTCTAAAATCTGACAAAAAAACTAGACATATGTATAACTAATGGAAACCCGTGACTTTACAGGATCTAATATTTAAGAACTTAGATATCGTATGACAAAAAATGAAATTTCATGTTAATTACAGAAACTGGGTACCGAGAAAGAGCGCTTGGCACTTACACTTTTAAACCATTATTTGGATTTATGTGACGCGATTGAAGACCAAGATCCATCGCTCGTTGATGGTTCTATTTTCGACGGGACTGATATACCGCAAGAAGTATTGCTTCCAGCTGTAAAATACACATCTGTAAGTCTATTTCTCAAGATTTAAGTTCCAGTTCTACCATTTTCTCTTCATTCTTTCTTCATTGAAAATATACAATATTAGATTTTGAGCTTTCTTATAGGATTTACTTCTTAATCACTACAGTCGTATGAGGAATTCAGGATGATGAACATGAAGAAGTAAAGGAATGGGTGCTGGCAATATCCATGGAACAAAGTATAGAACGAAGCCTACCCTGTGATAGTAATGGTAACTTTGAAGTAAGCCTGATTGATGCAAATGGTACATCTCACCCCGCATGTCTTATTTCAGGTTCTCTTTTATTTTAGCATTTAGGATCACATTTTCAGTAAAGTATATCTTCGCATATCCCTCTTTTTTCACTACTCATAAGATTGATTCTTCAACTTTTAATGACAGGTGATATGGTGCCATTAAAGGTTATCCGATACGTGGAAACATCAAAGAATTTGGATCTTCTGGTAAAGCGGCCGATCGTGATACGTGGAGCCGTTTCATCATGGCACAAAAGACAAAATCAACCGAAAGTATAGGCGACATATTACAGTTCATAGCAAAATGGACAGGAACAACAACATCTTTGGCGTTGTAATCTTCCCTCATTAATTATATTTGTACAAGACTTTTAATTCCTGAAGAAATTTAAGGGCCCATAGTTAACGCGCTCATTTTAAAATGATTCAAACCAAAGTCCAAAAGTCCCTAAGTGAAATGATGTCCATAAAGAAAAAGATATAGAACAATTATTATTTATAAGTCAGATTATAAAAGAAATTTACCACCCGCATATTATTTGACAAAAATATGTGCCTATTATAATAATTAGTGAAAACTGTACGGAACAGTGAATTATTACTGCTTATACTTGACAGTCACGACTGATAAATTTTTAAATTAAATAGTGCAAAGTGTCCTTATTAATATTAACATCGAGCTTCTCTGGGGTGTGATATCGCAACTATTTCATAATTTTCAATATTTTACGAAGATCAATTAGAAGCAAATTATTTCGACCAAGTTTTGGGGTTTGTGAAACATACTATTACGGCTTCTTACTAAAAAAGACTGCATTCAGTTCGTAGAGAAAATAATGCTATACGCACCGTAGGCCAGTGTGGACCCACCTGAACTAGCTTTATTCGAGACTTAATCCACCATGGAAACCTTACTCATTTTATTCTCTTCCATCAAAAAAAGCAACACTGATAATATAACAAGTATGAAGGATTATTAAAAACCATATAAATAAAAATGCAAAGAACTAAATAAAAACATAGTTAATCAAAAGTTAAAAGGTAGTTAAATCAAAACATACTAAGAAACGTACAAATAAGGACTTCAGTGAGAAAAATGGCGAACGAGGTATCTTACATTCTCATAAGTTACATATGTAACAATAACGTTTGGTAGCTGACGTAAATTACCCATGAGCAAGCCTTTATAAAAACCACGCACACCTTCCATTCTATATGTTTTGCTTACCAAATCATATATCCCATTGTATTTTGCATGATGGTCCTGCAGATATTGTGTTTCTATACCGATGAAAATTAGATGAAAGCAAAAAACGACAGAACAAAAAACCAAGCATAACGTATTGGACTTTCATTTAATTACAAACAGTTAGCTATTAATTTTCACCTGCAATCGAGTTCGCAGTACTTGGTACGGAAATGTTATTGTCGTGGAAATTATTTTGGATACAGCTGAATATATTAGACAATCAGCAGTACTCTGAAAACAAATGGAACTTTTCAATTCACAGTAGTAAATCTGAGTTCAGAATATTCACATGCTTCACGGTCCCTTTGCAATAATTGTCGTTGGCAATTATTACAGAGGTCATCTAATAGCCAACACACGGTCAACATAGGGCTATAGGTCCGAAAACTGTTAGTGATACTGAATAGTCCTAATACTTCAAATCAAAAAGCGATTGGCAAACGTAACAATAATTTACACAGAAAAAGTACGTGAAGGCAAACCAAAATATGATTAGCAGGAAGTTCCAAATGTTTCAATCTGTCATCCTTGAAACGATTGTAAAGCATAAACTGAATTGCACCATGTATAGTTCCAATAAGTCCTGGCGTAAAACCCTAGAAATGTTTTCAAAATAACTCTCGATTCAAGCTTCATGAAGCCGTTCATCCAGTTAATTAATAATGCTGTAATTCATAGCTTCTGTATTAACGAGCCATTCTGTACATCTGTAGTCGGTGCCATCTCTTTAATATTTCTTCACTAATCCGGACCTCACAATATTCGAGGAACCTTCGAATCATAATCGAACCAATCTTTTTCCCAATTCGTTCTCAAAACTGTTATATCTATCGCAGAACATAAAATCCACGGACAGCCATGCTTTCATCAAGCTAGATAAAAATACAAGTCTTGGAAATTCCTCCCACTAGTAATTTCATACTGTTTCTTTTCACTTCTTTTTTTTCTAATAAGATTTTTTTTGGATTATGAACTGCGGCGAAAATATTTGGCTAGTAAAAGCAAAAAAGAACAAACCCTGTACAATGCAGTAATTCCTTCGTTTCGAGCAACTGTGGAGATACAGTCCGAGAGTCCGCGGTATTTGATTCTCTCATTTTCATACTGCAAGCACAGTCGAGTTTTTGCTACCCAAATAGGGTTAGTGAACATTAAAATACCAGCTCCAGTAATCATTCCCAGCAGGACATTATCCACTGGCTCTGCTCCCGTTGAAATGGTTCTCTCATCGCAGAAACTTTTGATAATATGATAACTATAATGAAATTGCTGGATTACGTTGGAAAAAAAAGACTAGCAGAATTCAACCAGAAATCTCATGGAAGTGTACTCCATATATTTTTAAAAGTTTCTGGTATCAAAAGAAATCAATATTTATGATAATGTTCAACAAATGCAGAAGATAACTGGTTATACATTGGCTTATTCTAATCAGTTTAAATTATATGCGACCTAATCAGAAGTCTATAGTCATTGTTGCAGGGCGTGAAATATAATTCTAATATGAACATTTCAAATACTGCTGAAAATTTTAGCGTGACTCAGCCTAATATTATTCCTGACTATGCCTGAGTGCAACAAAAGATAGCTTAGGACTTACAATCGGTCATTTCAACAAGACTTACAATTGGAAATAAAGTCCCCAAGATACAGCAGATCCAATCAGATTCGGCGCTAATCCTTGATATAAACCTTTATACCCTCTGGATTGTATAATATTTCGTGCAGCATGCCAATAACTACGATATTGCGGACGTTGACAGTGACCGTCATTAGCTGCAATGATCGAAAACGTGACAACAATGCATTTGATAAGTGCGACAAATTACTGTACAATGAAGCTTGAAGCAGAAAATCCAATACTTCCATGCGTACACTTCAAGTATTTTGAGGAAAACAGCACGTATGTATCTGCTCATACATTTTTCGGAAAACGAAATCCGAAATTACATATTGAATATAACTAGAACTCCATATATTCATCTTGCCTGAAATAATTACAGACAAATGAGGTAAGCTAAGATACCTCACAAAGAAAATGATTCAAAATTCTAGGATAACGTAGGTAATTTCAACATGACCTTAAGATATGCTAGTTTATTTTTCTAAACCAAAATCATTAGATCGTATAACGAAATGTAATTTTGAAAAGTGGAACAAAAAAACAAAATAGAATAAAATGATGAAACATAACAAACAGATGAAATAAAGTGATGAAAATGTCAACATTTGTGATGTGGTTAGTACATATATAAATGTAGAAGAGTTGAATGAATAGATCTATTGCATACCCTGTACAATAAGAATATCAACTAACCAGAATATCGTATTCTGAGGAGATCCAACGGATGGCATGCAATAGTGCTTGTTATACCACCAGTAAAACCACCAATTAGATGTTCGTATTTTTCCATTCGACTGCATCAATATCGTGATTACTGTAAGAAACAAACTATATCAACTATTTTGCAACATGTATGTTTTCGAATACTATACTGCCATTTTAGGCTATCATACAATATCCGTTTAATTTCACTATGTGATAATATAATAATCAAAAAATATTATTTTTGTTGCAAAAGCATTACAGTGTTACCATAAGTATATTTAATAAAATAACAAAAACGATTCAGATTCAAAAAAAAATCGTACTTCAGTGTGTATTTATACTGTTGTTAAATTGTTCAAGTAAACTGGAATCATGGATCCATCATTATCCTCTCATCAAAAAATTATATACAAAAAATGGGAATGTAATTTCTATCCATTATCCTGTACAGAAATAAATAAGAAATCATACCAACTAGAAAATATTGGTACTTATTGTAATAACATGATTTGGCCACAATCTTTACCATCTCATCCTATCTTCCTCCTATCCTGATTGATTAAATCATGTGAAAACACTTATCAGGCGTACTTCTAAGAATCAGCATCATCACTATCCATATTTCATATTCCGGACACAGCAAGCCAAGCAGACAGTCGGTAAAAAAAACTTGATCCAGTTAATCCAGATTGTATGGAGCATCATTGTTGCACAGCGACCCAACGAAGTCGGTTTTGCGCAAAATATCTCCGAACCGCGCATCTTTTTGTCCGTCGGATGTGACGAACTCAAATTTTGAGATTTGCATTTCCGGAGGGAGGAGAGAAGGAGAGAAGGGAAGAGAGGAAGGGGTTGGTGGTATAGAGCGAGGTGGCAGAGATGGGAGAGATGCTTTTCGATGGATTTCAAAGATTGCTAAAACATGAAAGATCATGGAAAAATAAGAGAGAGCGAATTCTGTGGAAAAAGTGAGAGCAAGGAAGAAATATCATTATAGATTCAGGAGACTGCAGGGACCAATAAGATTAACCGAATATTATGCGTCATAAGATGAGGAAAATGCTTGAAAGAGTACGGCTAACTGTTGTAGAGAGACGTGAAAGGAATTATAATTAGAGTGAAAAATATTTGTTGATTGTAGTTTCTCGATGATTCATCAACGAATGGGAATGCATTAAATTGCTAATTGGGTTGGTCGTAGAGAGGAAAGGTGGAAGTGCTTGTCGTCTCATGGATGAAATTGGTCTGGCCACAGTACCAGGATATGACCGTGCGGAATCGAGTCTGTGAGGATTTGTCGGATTGTAATGAACTTCCAATAGCGAATTCATTCTGATATATCGACCGATAATATAGATCGTTTATACTGAGCCGTTTATCGGATTGTTGATAATTTTTGTTATGAAGTTATTTCGTTTACGGTACTCGATTTATTCTTGGTAAATATGTTTATTGCGCAATTAAACCGATATGGTATTTGGAACGTTGCAGGAAATTTCATTTCTCGGGTAAAGAGTACGAGTTGATATTTTCCGGGCGTTTACGACTGAATTGCTAAGTGATCATAATGACTAGTACATCTGTGAAACATCGTGAATTTGTTTCCGAACCAATGGGAGAGAAAGAAGTAACCGCTGTTGCTGGTATTGGACCTACTTATGGTGAGAAATTGAGTAAGGCTGGTTTTGACAAGGTAGTCCTTCCATTTAATTTATATATAAGTATATAATTTCTTACAAATACTCATTTAACACTCAAATATTTATCATTATTGCATGCCATCAACTTTTACTTTTCATTATTTAACTAGATCTTTTTTAATCAAACCTTTTTATTTATTGCAAATGTATCACACCACAAAGGCTTATTTAAAATTCGTTATCCAATAGTTCTCTGAATCGTTCAGTAATATATACATGGAATTAATGATTTTTTAACAAAGTGCAAAAGTATTGTATCTTTCGAAATTGAAATACGAAAAATCATAATATTTTGATGGCATTGAATCCTAAGTCATATTTCTTTATTATAATGAATCTTTTACGACATTATACTTAAATTATACTTAAATTGCCTAACGATATATTCATGAAATATACTTTCATTGCATTGCAAACCTTATTTATAGTATTTTAATACGAATGATATTGAACGCTTATCTTAAAATATCTTCGCTCTCTTCAAAAAGTATGCACTTTTGCAGGCGTATGTCTTGTTTGGTCAATTTCTCCTTTTGAAGAAAGAAAAGGAACTCTTCATTGATTGGTTAAAAGTAAGTATGTTAATATTTTCTATAATGCATTCGAATTTCTACAATGGATTCATATAGGTATTTGATGGAAATGTTTATATCATTTTCATTTCAGGAAGTAGCCGGAGTAAGCAGCAATCACGCCCTATCAGCTTATAATTGTTTAAACGAATGGAGTGAGCAGTACATTTAAAATATTGTTTCAATCAGTGGCACATGATTTACTGCCTCACAAGTTGTTTATTGTGCTGTTTTTTTTTGAAATATTTTGGACAATACGTATTCATCAAGGCGGATATAGAAAAGACGCGATCGATTTATAGTATGAGAGGAACAGTACGATGCAGCTTTATTATTGTTAAAGCATAAATAGATGAATTACTAGAGTTTCCTGAAAAATGAAATATTTATTGTGGGGAATACTGATCAGTGTAGGAAGGGTGACTTTATCACAGTGAAAAGACACTGTTGGAAAGAAGGAGGAAAGGAAGGGTTCTAGTTCATAGTAATATTTCCCTAGGATGTTTGCTTCCTTTGGATTATTTGATTGTAGCTTATGATATTAGTTATAAAATGGTGTTTAAGAAATGATGCATATACAGTATTATGCATGAAACGATAGGGTAGTTCAAACTTGTGTATTCCACATATGAAACAAAAAGGAAAGGTATTCTTAAAAAAATATCTGTATAACTTAACTGAAAGGAAAGTAGATCAACTGCAAATTTCTGATTTTGGCGAAAATCGCCATATTAAATAACATTTTTAAAATCCGTAACTATGTAGCTGTTTTGATTGCTGTTTAACTACAATTCAATTATTTGTTCTATTTAACCAACATGTGAATTGTTTTTGGATCTCGGCGTTTCATTCTGAATAAAATAAAATAAATCTCTGGTAATATGCAGGTTAAACGTCAGTGATATAAAAGATAAGTGGAATATTTACAGATTACATAATTAGTATTCACTGAGTAGTGTACTTAATTGTATTCAGTGAATAGTTTGTTGAAGTATTGCTTCGCTAAGAGCCCATGAAGTTTATCATTCTTCCTTTTTTTCTTCAAAAGCATAACAGCTGTATTCACGCACGTCATACAGGTACAGGGCGATATGATTCCTATTCTATCTTTACGGTAGCGTCAACATGGAAAAATGGGAATTAATTTTTGGATGCGCTTGAATGTCCCTTTAATCAAATCACCATAATCAACTGTGACAAATTATAGCTAATTTAATGTCAAACCTAATGATTCAAATTTGTACGAGAGTAATTTTAACATTTTTCAGAGCATGAAGAGATTTGAATAAATGATTAGATAAACATGGAAATCGCTAAGGAAATGCGCAAACAATCGAATGAGCACTGAGAAGTAGAATAATTTCGTTTAATAAGAGTAAGCGGCTTAGGTAAGATGGAAATATAAGTCTTGAAGCAACTGAAAAAGGAACTACTGTATTTTTTTTTTAATTCAGCACTCTTAGATCGTCACTGATCATATTTCCTTGGAGATAGAAGGATAAGCATGATCTGACACCTTTCGATGCGTGTATGCATAAATGGATGCATGCATGCGTAGGTGCAGATAAAAGTTGAGTGGACAATTAGTGAATGAGGAACGGAGTAACTATTCATGAACAAAACTGTAATGAAACATTCAGTTGACCAATGGGCTAGTAGAGAGAGATCGACCCAAGTGGGATGACATCGTTGTCATATTGAGTTGGTTGAATCTTTCAGGAGGGAGGGATATACGAGATGATAGTTTAAACTGTCGAGAAGATAACGTTTAAATTTGCGGGGTAGGATGATACGTGTGATAAGCTTGTTTTTGTAGGAAAGAGCGCAAAACGCTATAAATGGAATCAGGAAAGAACAGTGATTTAAAGGTTACAATCGATTCGGTGAAGAAGCTCATTGCGGCACGAGATGAAATCGATGAACGAATCGCGAAGGAAGAAGAAGTTCTTAAATTGGTAAGTTTTTTCCTCTTCTGTTCCCAGTTACTTTGGCTCTATAAAATTAGGAGTAAATTATTATTAGGTTAGTTAACTTGTCTTCCTTCCTGCTTAATTCTTATTAAATTTAACCATTTAATTCTTTTTCTCTTCATCTAAAACACATGGTTTGATGAAATGTAATTTGTTATCTTTATAACGGGAAAAATACGAAATGATATATAATGCTGCTTTGGCTAATGATGGAAAAATTCACAAAATCTTTGAAATTTATTAATTGATTTGTAGAATAATATTGATATGCAAAGAAGCTTGGTGGACGCAGAAGGTTTTCCTATTACATCTGTCGATGTATATGCAGTGAGGCGAGCAAGATGTGCGATTATATGTGCGCAAAATGATCGTCAGCAATTAACATCTGAAATTGAAAAAGCTATGCTTATCTTACACCAGCAAAAACGAGATTGCGCAATAGCATGCAGGTAATACTATATTGCATGTTAATCTGCAGGTAGCATGTGTTACTACTAAGCAGAATTTGTGAACTATCTTTATTCATTTCTTGAATTAACTCACGTCATGTAATTTTTTAGTAAACCTGCATCAACAGAAGATGATATTCCAATGGTGCATCGTACCGGCAATGCTCCATTTGCAAAGGTAGCTAAAGTAATGGACAGCTCACCAGCTTTTCGAGCGGTCAGTACGTTTCTACTTATGATATATGAACATTGGATATTTGTTTGTATAATCTTTTCTGAACTACTTTTTACATAGAGTTAATATAATATACCCAAAGGATCAGGCAGGTATATTTCAACAATATCTTGTGTAACCTTAATGATTGGTTTTGCTTATGCTTCTGTATGTGGAGAAACATCTACTATTCTGTTTTGATGCATATTTCTGAGAGCCTTTTTCGATGAAAGTATGTTGGGTCTACATTGCTTTATTTAAATTAAAGCAGAAATAATGGTGAAAATCCCCTTTTTAACGTCAGGTTTATAGGTTTATATCGTTTAGGGTTTAAAGGATGGCGATCAACTAATACAGTTTGGTTCGTTACATGCTGGTAATTTTACTGATATAAAAGAACTTAGCATAATTGTGCAAAACTCTATAAATGTAAGTATTTCATTTACAAGTATCTTAGTAACTTATATGTTTTGCTTACAAAGAAAAACAAAAATTTATACATCTTTCCAGTTCTCCTAGCATTGCTTTTCAATCAGTTGATCATATGTGCCGCTATGAAACCATTTAGAACATCATTTATTCTTTTACCGAATTAACTACCCTTTCGTTGCAAATGCAAAAAATTCCAAAAATTTTAGCAAATGTTGACTTATTTTTTCGTGAATGACTATTTTAAGAAAAGAATGTTCATTCTTCCTTAAATTTTTGTTTTCCAGTGTATTTGAGACTGAATTGACTAAGATATCAAGGTAAGTAGCCAGTTATGATAGGTGGAAGATAGTGTGTTTTGCATTAATAAAACCATTGTGCTCAACAAGCTGAATGATTGAGGTGGTCATCTGTATGAATAATTATTTTCAAATGGTTGTGGTCGGTTTGGATTAAGAGCTTTGCATATACTAAGTAGGAAGTTAATCGTTAACAAGATATTGATTTCTCTATTATTGGAGAGGCCAATACGAGTAACAGTACTAAGGAACGATAGGCCGATACGATTAGAACTTGTGCCTCAAACGTGGTCCGGCAAAGGTACTCTCGGATGTTCTGTATTTCCAGTTACTCCTGCTCATATATGAGTCCTTTCATTGCGATATACACTGATGTACATTATTGCTAGCAGTAATTGAAATACAGTAGTGCATTATTATTTGGTGTATTTTTTTGTTTTTTCATTAAGATCTCTATTTTTGACGTTTAAGATTTAAATTACTCATTAATGATAATAATTCAAACCATTTACTATCGATACTATTCATAACATAACATAACAACATAAAAGAACAGGAGATTTCAAAAAATTAGAAAATTATTCCATAATTAAGATGCATTAGGAATAAGAACTGCTTTAATCTGTTTTCAATCGACTGCTTCCGACAGAGTTCATAATCACTTTGGGTGACGACACTAGTCTGTGTCCCAGTATTTCATATGTATTTTTTTTATCATTTTTATTTAACATGAGAGATGTTTGTTATGGAATACAAATGCATATAAAACTTGCCAATATTTCTTGGTATAATAAAACTAAAGATCCGAGAGGGCATGAGACCACAATGTATGTCGTACAAAATTATAAAAAGAGACCCTCATATTACATGAACACAACGCTAATAATATTCTCTGCGTATAATGAGAGGATTAAAGGCATAGAAGCCTATCATTACATTCGGAAATCCTTTCCATCACGACCGCCAGCAAATGCCAATTTCACGATGTAGGGCGCTTTGCCAACTGCAACATTTTTCATAGTAACTCAATAAGGGTACGGAAGCTACCTCATGATAATTGATCTATATGTTGAAGAGTCGTCTACCTCTGATGGACAGTGGCTGTAGTGAACTTCAATTAAATGTGTATTTTTTCATGACCCCACATCAATAAAAGAACAATCAGGAGAGGTTTTACTAGAGTTGGGATCAGTAACATCAATAAAAGTTGTGAGAACATTAAAAAAACTTACCAGGACTTTCAACTGGAGTATGATTGGCTAACATGAGCGCTTCCGTTGCGCGTCCCATGTTAGAAAACTCGCAGATTCCAGCTGAACTACGCTCCGAACGTTGCGGAAAGATGACTACTTTGTCTGGTGTTACAGCTCCTTTGTCGACAAACAGCTAAAATAGTATCTGTTATATACATTAATCTTGGGATACTGCGTATGTGTGACTGTTACTTATTTTTTAAGCATATTAATCAAGAATGCTTTATTGCAAACTAGGATCTTGTATCTATTAATTATTGAGGTATTCATAAAGTTTTGCAACAGCCGCTTGTATCTATGTCACAATTTCCGATTGATATGTCAACTTTTTCCTCAATACACTTGGGAAAGGGAAACAAGCGTTTGATTATGGTGCTATGTCGATTCAAAAATGAACGTCTTTAAGCTTCTCTTCTGTCATCGTCACAGGAGCATTGTACCAGTGCAATACATGAGTTGGTTTCACAATCCGGTTTCGTGCCGCCAATTCGGGCGTCGTATAACGCTGATTGCGGCTATTGGTATAATCTCTGCAACTTGCTAACATAAATTTCTGACCACAAAAGCACCTAATTTTTATAATTTCTAGTCTTAACAGTTATTTGGATCTGCCTCATCTATGCAACAGTAGACAAATTTATTGCACTATTGATTAATCCCACTTTACCTTAATTGAGGATGTGAAATTTCCTTCCTTCTCTACATAAAAATGTGAAGACGATGATCTTGCGCTTTACCTGTATGAAGGTGTTCCATCCGGCAATATGAATGGATCGCGTATTTCGTGCAAAATCTGCTGTTTTGATGGTCTAAGAGCAAGTTTGTTGCCGAAAATCATAGTACCATGCAGATTGTCGATTGTTGTGTAGACTTGGCGTACACTACCCATCTGAGCCATTGCGGTATCCGTCTTTGATTTCATAAATTTGATCTAAAAAAATAGGAAATTGGTAGTCGCCAGACAGAGCAAAAATGCGGATAATTTTCCTCATTTCCAGAATCAAAAACGATTTAAAAAATTCGATAAATAAAAAGTACAAAGATAATCTGCAGCAGCTCTATTTTAAGGACAATGAAATCAGAAAAAACTACGAACTACCTTATTACAATTACCATAGAGACACAAGAGATTAAATAATTTGTCGCAGTTGAAATTATCCTGATCAATGCCGTAAATCATCATCACTGGACCATCACCATTGTAATAATCACGTTCATCTTCGTAGAGACCAGCTCCACTTCCTGAAATAAGTTCTCACATAATACAATGAATATTTCAAATTTATACATCAAAGCATTCGAAAATTATTGGGAATCGAAATCCAGAAAATAGTCATCAGAATCTCAACATATAAAAGTTGCAATAAACGGAATAATGAGTACTATTACCGTTTTTAGACTACTGATGGAAAAGCAATGCACTGGCGATAATTGAACTAATGATAATTGAAACATAGCCAATACAATGTTTTCCGCTCTATCATTATTATAACAATTACGGTAAGTAATAGCACTATTTCTAATCATAGAGAAACATTGTTGAATCTACAACAATTCGGTTGTTGTGATTTTCATAGTTCTGCGAGCTATTTGGAACAAGACTACTTCTATTTTTAGGACTATTCCAGTATTTCTTGATAATGAATTATTTCAGAATTTCGAATTTGATATCCATAATTTTCTTTTCGCGATCATTCTACTATTAATTCATAGTCTTTGCAAATTACAACGTAAGTTACTAACAGTAAAGTGAAATATAACCTCTTCCACGTGCATATCCTCCTCGATTATAGGTACCATCACCACGACCAAATCCACCTCGTCCGCCTCCTCTACCATAATATCCATCACCACGAGAGTAACCATCTCCTCTTCCATATCCTTCAGTTCTTCCATATCCCCCATCGTATTCATCATAGTTGCCACGACCTCTACCGTAGCCGCCACCATAGCGGTCATCATGATAGCCATAATCACCAGGTGGACCACCACGACCTCGTCCACCGTATCCTCCTACAAGTAAACATTTTAATATATCCAAATAAGAAATTAATGCTTAATTGAACCATACTCTCCGTATAAAAAACATCTGCATCTTCAATTTGAGTTGCTCGTCATGCCATAAAGTGCCATAACATACCATAACTCGGAGGTCCACGTGGTCCAGGCGCTGAAAAGACGGAAAGCGAAACAATATAACATTAAACAAACAATTAAAATCAAACAATGATGTTTTAGATGGAGAAAAACTAAAATAATAGAAAAAAATTACGTCCTCCACGTGGTCCTGCATCATTCAGCAACGTCTTTCGAGGTTCCTCCGTGTACTCTGAAATACCATCTCGAAATGAATTATAACATAGTGACTATACCTTTTTATATCATATCATACGTAAGTGTAAACAAAACGGAAAAAAAAATCATACAGTAATACAACGCCGACCTTCGCAGCTTTGTATGTAATGTAAAGAAAGATGCAGAAGATTTGAGCGATCAACCAGGTCCGAGTAACACTCGAATAATGCAACATAATAGTATCAACGAACCTTATCCAGGAAATATATAACTTAAGCCTGTAGGCCAGCACCACTGCTGCATAATTTCTTCCACACCGCAAGCTCTTTTGCGGTAGAAACCTGCAGAAAAAGGGATGCGTTCACGTTTAAGGCCAATAATTAAGAAGCTCGGTGATAAGCCCTGACAATAGTTCTCGTAGTTTCTTCGTCCTTATATCCCTTCCTTTCTGTTTATGTATTCTTTGTATGCAGTGCATTCCAATGGTGTACGCCATTAAGTATCCATTTGCATGCCATCAGTCCTATTAATCTGTTTTACCTCTTCGCTTACTCTCCCCCTTTAGGGGTTTACGACGATCAATGATAGTTGCGAATGATAGCTGTACTGCAATAATGATAATATGGAGAAATATTTGTTTTTTTTTTCAATTTCCCGATATGATAACACATTTTTTCTTATTTGTGATGCTGAATCAGCTGCACTTAAGTTGGCAATCGTTGTTTTTACCTGCTGTTTTGACTGTTTTCTGCACCAACCCAGAAAATATGCCTTCTACGATGAACCTTTTATGTTGCTGCTGATGCTGATGATACTGATGATGATGATGATAGTGATGGTGATAGATGGTGATGATGATGCTGGTAATAATGATGGTGATGGTACTGATGACGGATGAACAGTGTAACACATCAGTATCAGTAGATTATCTGCGTTCTTTTCATGTTGGTATTGTTATATGTGTTGATGATAGGTAAAATCTGTTGCTGCTTTCCCGACCTTCGATCCACTTATAGTAACCGTCAGTGTAGTTTGTATGGATTTAACTTTCATACTATGCCCTGTAACCTTGCAATAACCTGCAACAAATTCTACGTCAATCCCACATCAATTAACATCTTTAAAAAACAACCTGATTGTGGCGCTTTCGTGTAATCCCACTGATCCATATCATTTCGAGTCACTTTCACATGCTCAGGCTGGAAATCATTCATTAATAATGACGTAAATTATATCATGTTTACTATGTTTATTTATATATAAAGCTACAAATAACATTTTCACACTCTTCTTCAGTGGTAATTAAACAATAATTGCTATAGACTATCAGAAAGCTTTCGACAAAGCAAAAAAAGCTATTTTCTCAGAAATTTCAGATTAACAACACAACAAGAAAGATTATAATTTTTAAAAAGAGATCATGAATAGCCTTAGCATTACATGAATTACATGAATAACCTTAGCAAATTCGACTTTGAGTGTACAACACCCAGTGTATATATCAGCCCCATTCATTGCATGTTTTGCCTTCTTCGCAATTTCCACACTTTCGAATTCAACCAATGCTTGTAACATCGTACGGCGTATCATAGCAATACGCTTCACAAAACCGTGTGATTCACATATCTGTAACACTTAGGTCGAATTTCTTCGCTACTCTTCCTCAATAATAAGTAAACACACAGCTTACTCTTACTCGTACAGAAATATTTAAAGCTATCAAGTTCTGATTTTTGCCGCAACATATAAAATAATTCTAAATGACGCTTACAGAAAAACTGCCAGAAGTCCGAAACATACTAAACAGCAAGGAATATAAATAATACCTCATGGATGACATCTACGTTAATAGGATACTGAGCATTGTAAATGGTCAATATAAGCACATGATTCGGTGTTTCCGATTCAAGCCCTAATCGTTGGATCATTTTAGATGTAGAATAATTGAATAGAGCCGCTTGTCCAGCAACATAAATTTGATTCGTTTGCGCATATACGACGCATGAACGTGCACCTTCCACTTCCTAAAAATATTATCATCCCACATTGATAACAGTAATTGCTTGGGGCTTATACTTACCTCTAAAAGAATTATCACAGTATGTTTCTCAAAACTACATGTAAAGTTGGAATATTAACCTCAAATTCCACCAATGCCATCCGCTTCCCAGGCATACAAGTAGCGTACGATATCGGACCAAAATGCGATAATGCTTCCAATAAATCAGCTTCAGTCGCTTTTGGACTTAAATTCCGGACGTGAACAACAATTGACGGATCCGGATTAGTCGGATCAACATTGTCGTCACGTCTGAAACGTTTCGACGGTGGCACTTGTGATCCACTTCCCTCTTCTTTCACTTCGGTATCCATCTGCAGATTACATATCAAGTCATACAAATCCATCATCTCATTCCTAGTAAGATGCAACAACAACTGCACACCTTTTAATCAACGTCAATGATCCCCTACCCTCGCCCCTCTTCCCATGATGACACCNCCCCCTAACAATCTCTATAAATGACCAACCTATGCGCCCAAGATTTCGAACTACAAACATCGGCCAACCACATATTACCATAAGCTTAACTCTCGGCACACTCATACCTTTTGTTTTTTTTTCCGGCGAAGCTTATAAGTGACAGATGTGAGGGACCTTTGAACCTTTGAAAGATATCACAAAACGTAATTAACTCTATGTATTTTGCAATGATATAAATGAGCATTGTAAATTTATCATGTGTACAGGGAATCATTGAATTATAACAGGACGATTAAACAATTATAATATCGCCAATAACATTATTTCATAATTCCTGCTATATCAGAATCGAGTTTATACATACATCCCATCATAGGTATCTATCTTCGGTTCAGTTGTGGAGCAGAAATTCTAACTTTTCCGGGGATATTCCGTGAAATTTGGTCATCGGTTGCCAGCACTTTTAGCAAATTTAATTCTTGTGCATTCGCTGACTTATCACGCTGAAAATCAAAAGTAAATAATGAAAAGCTGGAGGAAAAGCAATACGACCACCTATCATGAAGATTTAACTGCAAAAATCTACATCAGAATTACTACCTTGATTATGCAGTTCCACCGATATCAGTTATGAAATTATGAAATTTTAGTCATTATGATTTTCAAACTTGATTACTGCAGAAATAAAAAGCATTTCGGTAAAATATATGAGTTCATTCTACGTTCTATCGTCATATTATTTTTGATACAGTCGTAGAACTGAGGTTTTAATTTTCTCAGAATTTATAGATTTTTTTCGTATGCTATAAAGGGAAGTAACTAATAATATTACCTGGAACAACGCTATTGCACTTTTAGCTGCTTTCCCTCGTTTACCAGTTCCTGGAGTCAATTTTACTTTATATTTGAAATTGTGCATCGTTTGATATGGTGCCACAATTACCAAAGCAAACAGAAGAACGTCCCCATCTAATGGTCGCCACGTCAACGAATTCAATATTTTCGTTTCTTCGGTATCCATTATTGCCATGTCTGCTTCTAGTAGTTCATCATCTTCTTCCTGAAAATAAACAGTTACCTTTAAGGTTGCTGATAAATTCATAAAGATCGTTGTGGAAAAATCTGTGGTGCTTTGAAACGTAATTTTTATTTACTCAACTTTAGCTTTAAATCTTTTACAGTCAGCTGTTGTAGCGTTTGGTTGACTGCCTTACTAATTTAAATTGGGCAATCTAATCCTCCATATCTACAACTTTGGTCTCCTTACTGCAAAAATGGTTTGTCAATGAATAGCTGATATTGTCATTGTGAGAAGAGATTTAAAATGGATTTAAGACAATGTTTACTTCATTAGGTCTTGTTGGAGGTTCAGCTTTCTCTTCAATCATCGATGCATTTTCTTCATGTTCAAACTGATTCCACGTTTTGCTCTTTTTGACATTCTTCTTTTTCACTTTCTCCAATTGCTTTTCATTTATGGTTTTTTCTGCAAAAAAATCCATCTTTTATACGACAACAAATCTCATAGCAATCTGTACAATATCAGCGCGTAACACTTAATGCCTGTAGATATCGTTGCCAGAAAAGAAAATAGGGAATCAGCAACATAGACAATGCTTAACACGCTTAAGGAAGTATGGCTAGCTTGGATCTTTAAAATGGTAGATCAAATGACAAATTATAAATTAATATACTAACTAATTCACACTTATTAGAACATCTGTTAACGCTACTTCCAGCCGAAACTGAATTTAAACCCACGTGTATGAGATAAAAGCTGATACCAATCAAAATATGGATTTTGCGGATTATAAAAGAGTAGAATTCCGTCGTATTACAAATGTGACAAACACACTTTCAAAATTTCTTGTATCCTTCGGCTTCGACGCCAACAACATCAACCTTAACTGGCGCTCTTCGTCATCCTGATCACCATATTTCTTTTTGATTTTCTCCGCTTTATGTTTCTGCCGGCGAGTCATAGGACGCACTTTGCCATTTTCTTTCAATTCATTTACCTCTTGAGTTCTGTCATTGTCTTGAATATTACTAGTCGTTTTGATAGCAGGTTTTCGTTGTACCGTCGGACCAACTTGAATAATGGTGTAATTGTCACCTTCATCTGCACTTTTTCCTTTACTGATGATACCTTGCAGGCTAACCTAAATATCGTTACTAGTATTTGTGTAGGATAAGAATCGTTGATCTTACACAAACAAATTGATTCTAGCGACAATAGAATTTTTATGAATTAACGTGATTCCATTTGATTAAAACTTTTCAAGAAGCAAAAACATTGCTTAATTAATACACAGTATTTAGCCCCATAAAAACCGGTGAAAAAAACTAAATGAAAATTTTAATAACGACGAGTTTAAAATAAATTTGTAAATCATTTAATGAATAAGCTATAATTATTTATTTAAGAAGCATAATGAAATCATTACAAAATTCAATTGATACAGGGGTTAAACAGATTTTGAGATTCAGCATACGAAGGAAAAATTCTCCCATCTAGCTTAATTAGGCTCTATTCTTGTTTTTCTCACTATTTTATTGGATGGTAAAAACAAAAAGAATCGGGAAAAAAAGAATCTTTGTTTTGCAAAAACAAAGAGCAACATTTCGGTGGCTGTTTCAGATCCAAAACTTGAATGTTAGAATGTCAAAAATTTTTACCTGAACATCAGGAAAATCATCAATTTGCGTATCAGAATTTCTTTCTTCTTCCCTTCCATTTAAGGAAATCTCGTCATCGTCATCTTGGTTCACAGTATCGTCCTCTGCTGCTGCTGTAACAGCAGTTTTCCTTTCTTCTATGTGCCTTTCCAATGACTGCTCATCCAGTTGAAACATTATACCAAATCCCATTTGCAACTGGCATGTTGGTAGATAATTCTTCTTACCACGTATCATAAAACTACCTGGTGTTAGATATTCACCTGTTGGTGCTGTCCGTGAAACCTGCAATATAGTATGACTACAGTTAAAATCTTCCAACCTTCTCATCTCATTTCAGTCATTTTTCAGATAACAACCAGAAGCATATCCACTTTAGTGTCTCCCACAAACGATATGATTTTATGTTGAAAGCTAAACATGATTTGATAATAAATGATAATAAAATGTGATGAATGATTTGATAGTTATATTTGCTGTCATTTTATCACACAATGTTGAACCTAAAAACAAAATTGTAATGCGATATATTCATATCTCTTTCTAATTCCATCCTCTAATAAACGATTTCCGCTGTCTGATAATAATTTCGAATACGCAACCTGATGCTGATGAACCCACCACGCTGACGTCGTTACTTTTGCTTCCCATGCGGAGGAATAACAAATGGCCATAGTAGCAGCTTCACTCAGAGTTCGAGGTGGTATTTCACCACCACCTAGTTTATTACGTATAATAATGGATGATGCACCCCGTGCATCTGCGTGCATATAAATATCACCTGGCCGAAGATACCTAAAATCTTTGAAAATTAATTTCACTTTGTCGAATGTCTACTCAAAAAAAGTAATAAAATAATCGTGAAATTCCAAATCTACCTCTTCACCAGTAGTTCATTTTGTTGTGCATCGCGACCACCAATCACCAAATAATTTTCGGAGCTGACAAACCAAAAAAATTTCTCAAACCACATCACGCGTCGCTTTTTCATAACTTCAGTTTTTGTATGAACCTTAACACTGAGGAAATAAAAAAAGACAGGAGAGCAGGATGGAGAAAGTTGAATGAGCCAAATTTTCGTTGAATCAATAACTTTTCTAATCCATTCAATAATTTAGCTTTTTTTTTCATCTAAGTTAACTATAAAAGTGTAAACACTACCACTTCCAGCGTCTCTTTTGTTTTCATCTTGGCTGATTTCAACGCCTTCGATGAGGCGGAAATAGTTTTCTGCTGTTTTTGTTCTGCAGCTTTTTTTTCCGCATGGAGCTTCCTAGCGTTCTGATAGGATGACAAAGCAATATCAATAGTCACCTCAAATACGGAATATATGCAGTTTTTCCCATCTATTCTAAGTGCTTTCAAATCATACAGACTGCAGATCTTTTATCTGACACGGTTGAAAGCTAGATTTGAATTGGTTTACATTTTTCATTACAGTGTCTGCAGTATAGTTACCTTTTTAGGATCAATTTCCAGACAATACGGATTCCTGAGCAGTAGTGTCATTTCATTTGAATTTAAATTTAATCCAACAATAGAAGCAGCGATTGGATTGCCAGCTTCACAGGCATTCATCCGCATTTCTTCAATGGCTTCCCAACTAAGCTAAAATCAGAATATTGACCAGTTCTTAAGATGTTTGAGAATGTTTTTAAAATATTTGGGAATAATCTCTGGATAACAGGATAATTTTACTTGATTGGCGATAGCTGATCGAATAACCAGCAGAGCTTTATCCACCAAATCACTGTTTAGCTCAATTAATTCGGCCATTTCTTCTCTTTCCACTTGTGCCACTTTTAAAGCTGCTATTCTATCCTGCATTAAAAATAAACTCGTTCACTAATAAAACTCATGTATAGAAGTGCGTTTTGTGCAGACAGTAACAAACATATTCCTTTTAGAAATAAATAGTTCCGATAATTGAAAGAAACACCATAATTATACCTGCTGATCCTTTATGACATTGTTTAGTTTCTTCATTGCCTCTTTTTCTGCATTTAGTGCTTTTACACTGGCTTTTTGCAACTCCAACTTGGAGAAAAATTCATCGACGCACTCTGAGAATGAATCAAAATGTTTCGCTTGCATTTCGGTAAATTGTGCAAACATGAATGGATGAAATTCCTGAAAAAAATACACAACATAATCACCGTAAATATAAATATTAAAGGATTAGAAATCAACAGCATAGGTCAAATTAAATAAACCTGATATGTTTCGACGATAACGCCATCCATCCTCAAATTCTCTTTATATATTAGAAATCCTTGCGTTGCATTATGTCTAACAGAATTGAAAATCTGATGAGCTAGTTGAAGGACTTTGAGTAGTTCTGTAGCACCACTTTCCTCCATGCTGATGTTTACACCAATCTTAAATTTCAGCACTATCATAGCAAAACTGTTATTACCAATATCATATAGTCCGTTATTGTATTACTAGCTACTGCTATTGGCGATCATACTAAAAGCAATAATCAATGGATGGGATTGTTGTATTGTAAGTCTTCCTTTTCTTTTTTCTCCTTCTTACTCATCATTTCATTCTTCTTCGTATGTTTAGATCTTGGAAGTAGTGAGGTCCCAAAATTTCTATTGAAATATTTCACAGGTTGTCAAATTATACGTCTACTGCAATGCATGCCGAATAAATTCAAAAAATCTTACTAAAATTATTTTACTTAAAAAGAATATGGCAATACAATCAGCTGAAATAAAAACCAAGATTTTAGCTTTGAATTCCAGCAGTAAAGAAAAAGATGATAACAGTTTTCCTTTTAACTCTTAAGACATTTGACTTGATATACAGTAAAGAATATCAATCCAATTAAAACCGTACAACAAAAAAAGATCTGCTCTAAAATCTACAAGGACTCCAGTTATCAAATCAAAAAATAACCAGTCTCTATCACCTATTAAATTATTCAAATGAGGTATTTTACAGAACTCAAATACTGAAAAATGAACAAACTACCCAAAATATGTCACCCATATAATATCAAACCATGTCAAACCTGAGCATTTTGAGCAACACCAGCCATTCTCAATGAATGCTCAATTAAAGTAGGACCATACTGAGTAAGGGGAGCGAGAAACCGTTTCACTGAATCACCCTTTTTAGCCTTTCTGAATCTTTCCATCAGTTCATCTTTGGTTGGACAACTGATATCTTGTCGTACAGCTTCCAGCGGATATCTAAATGAGGGTTTTTTATCCAAATTAATGAAAAATGAACTGGACAATATCGAAAAGGAAAAAGAAAGAACAGTAACCGTTGTTGAACAGAAAAGCGCGTATCCGTTTCTTTGTCAGTCCTCGGCCGCAACACGTTAAGTATAGTGTAATTATTGTCCGTTAACAACACGTTGCCTCTGTCATATAACTCAACAATCTGTACAAGTTTTATTAAGTGCAAAAAATATGGTTAGAAATATAATAATTAACATTAGGGCTAGGACATGATTGAGAGAGAGAGAGAAGTCACTAAATATTCAGATAGAAATACCTCAATCTTTCCATTGTTATGTAACATCTCTTTTTTCTACGTGGATGGAAGAACCATCATGGTCATTAGAAACAATCTCTAAATTACTAATATTATACAACACACCACATGGTATGCATGTTCATCAAAACCAAACTGCATATCGACAATTCGATCAACACCAAGCTGTGTAACGCATTCCAGCCGTTTATGCCTGATATGCTTCCGAAGTTTCATAGTAAAAGACGAAGGGAACTGCACTTTGGGCCAATCAAATGTAGTTTTATGAATCCTGCATCCAGATTCCAACATTATGAAGCATTTCTCATCTGATCTGTAAGATATGCGTATAAATTCCTTCTTCCAAATTTCTACTATTATATTGAAAAAAACATTAGTTGCATGGAAATCGTACTTTTGAATCCGTATAAGATACGTTTTAGGGTCCACATCATACACATTGACGACACGTTGACCAGTTAATTCCTTCAAGTCATGCACCACAGCAAATACATCCAAAGTCGAGAATCGGTTCTTCATGCTAAACAAACTTTACATATATCTTACCAAACTAATTCAACATCGTACGTTTAACACTTGTATAACTGCACATGACGCAGATGCCTATGACTCCACACCAAGTATTTAAAATTATGGAGTTCCCTTACTTTCCTAAACTGTTTGGTATTCTTATCAATACGCTTGTCATCTCATTATCTTTGTTACATCAGCCACTTGTTAACACTCCCTTCCTTTGTACCACTTGTTAAATATAGTCAAGACGATTGCGAGATATAAATATTTCAAGAAGCATCGCAAATATCACACTCTTTTAAATAACTGAAGGATTGCAACTTCGACCAGTTATGCATGCAATTTACAATAATTTAATGCGAATTTGAACGAAACAACGGAACGATGTAAAACACAACCTTTGCAAACGGCAGTATTGATAATCATTTCCGCTTCACAAACGTCAGAGATATAACTTGTAATCATACCTGATTGCAAAGCAAACAATGCATGCACAATAAACCCTTATCAATGACAAAAGGAGAATTAATAAGTAGTTGAAATGTTTAATGTTACACAAAATAACTCGAAAATAAATACTCAAACACAAGCAAAAATATGCCAGGCTAATTTACTATCTGGGGGAAAAAGCAAAACTAAAAAAAATAAAAATCAGCTATCAGATAACAGTCATTCAGAACGACAAAAAAGAAGAAAGGTGACATTTTGCAGAAGTACATCACTGCACATCTTATAGCAATATTATAAAATACAGGGAATAAGGGAAAGACCGATACCTATAGGATCATAATCTATATTCTCACCTCCGTCAGCATCATTATCAACAAATGTACAATATATAATATTTATAGAATTACAATTATTTTCTTAATATAAGAAAACCCGAAATGATACGTGAGATTCGACGTAATAATTGTAAGACTCACATTGTTCAAAATCAGTGCTAATATTCATATCTATAAACAGATTCCAGAGAATGAATTTTTTTCTAATAATTAACAAAGCAATGAAAAGATCAAATATGAATAAGAAAACATCTACTTAGCCTTACTTACAATTCATTCTCACTGCTACTGCCGCCAAATTTCTTCTGAATATTAATCATTATCACATATGGTGGCAGCTTCTGTCATATCACCTTTTAGCTTGACAAAGCAACAGATTCCGCCAAGGACAATAACTTTTCATTATTAATTGGTTG